GAGCCTGCAGTGTCAGACATGCTAAGCCTGCACTTTAACAGAGCTTTTCAGTCCTGCAAGCTTGGCTGTGGCAACAACTGCAACCCCCTCTTTTTGTCAAGGCAGGGCTTTAGTGAATAAAGACCAACTTGCTCTGGCCCTCAGGCCTGTGCATGAGGCCTGATCCACTAGCTCAGTGGGAGCAAACTTTCTGGCAGGCATGCCACAAATTAAGCCCCATGCACGCCACTCCGATCCCCTTCCCCTGCCTGATCTGCTGCTCTGCACCCTGCCTTTCTGCCACCATGCTACCTGACTCCTTCCCAGTCTGCTGCGTGGCCACCCAAGCTAGCTAAACCACAGCATGCTCCAAAGCCTGCAGGTCAGCAAAAGCTGCTGAAATTGTGCGATTTTACATTCCTGTTCACAGGACTCTCCATTGCTCAGTGTAGCAGGAGCCCTGGAGGAAAGCACAGGGAAAAGAGGTGTCTGAGCACACTGCTAACAGAGCCTGCCCTGGGACCCCAGAGCTAGCGCAGGGAGCAGGCACCCCTGACAGTGAGAGTCGGCCCAGGCAATCAGCAGAGGAGAGGACGCTGAAATAAGACTGCTAAAGTTGCTAGGTAACCATGCTATTGTACTTCAGTTCATGGAACAGCCTATGACAGCTTGTGCAAATGATGTAATGCTAGTATCCTGCGTCTCACTAGCTGAACAAACTGTCATTCACTTGCCCGGGGAAAGAACGGAGAGTTCTTAGAACAATGACTTGCACCGGTCCCTTTGCTCACAGCACGGTCAGGGTGACCTGCTCCTACCTCACTACTCTTCGAACCATTCTCCCTCAAGGGGAAAAGCTCTCCACTTGGTCTCAGGCAAGGGGGAAAGAGTCTGAGGAAAATGGCAAACGAATACAGAAACTAGGGAAAAAACCCAGCAGAGAGCATACAGCAGCGTCAGACTTCTGTGCTCACCTGCAAGTCTCTTCCACCCACTCAAGGCCCCAGAGGCAGCTGACCCTGGCAGGAAAGAGGAGGGGTGGGACAGAAAGATCACAGATGCTGTGTGCGTCCCCCTGATACCCACTAAGGGCTGCGGTAACAAAGCGAGCCCAACCATGCTGCCAGCTCTGCCCAGCCAGAGGCACGTGACAATCCCGAAGAGCTTGGTTGCAAGGAAAGACAACTTCAAAGCCTGTTACTCAGGCACTCCAAGTTAGGAAACACAAGAATAAATGCTGCCTGTACAACCTTAATTTGTCCCCTGGGCAGCCGTGTCACTAAATGCACTGATGATCATGCTAGCCAGTTTCAGAGGAGCCTGCCTCATTTAGGAAGGCTATTGCTCAGGAAATGAATTAGGGCTGTGTAATGACAAAGTCTGTTTTTAATAGGATCCCAACCTCACTGTCACCAAAGCCAAGAGGCATGTAGCAAATAAAGACTTCTCTACTCAGAATAGTCAGCACAGAACAAACTGCTCTATAATAGCTCCTTGTGTGGACACCAACCTGGAATAAAAGCCACTTCTATTCCAGAATAGCTGGGGTACTCAAAGCAGGCTGGTATTGCAGAACGGAGCCAGCACAGGGAAGCAGCCCAGAATAAACCGCTGCTCAACAGCTACTGGAGTCAAGTTCACCCAGCAGGCAGCTCAAAGCAGGAGCCCACAAGTCAGGTTTGGTTAAAAGAGCTGAATGCCATCCCAGACACTGGTTCTAACAGAGCCCTGGGTGGCCCATGTGCCAAGCCTCACAGGGGCCCTCTAGCTATACGGTCGCCCACTTGAGCCCGTTGAGTGCTCAGCTACAACTGAAGCCAAAAGGAGACATGAATACCCAGCATCTCTAAAAGGACACACCGTGACAGGACAAGAAACACAAGCCTGGGAATCAGGGAGGCCCACAATTGCCCTGGCTCAGAAACTGACTCAGTGGGGCCTTTGATAGGCACTTTTCTGTTTCTTAACCTGTAAAACCGTGCACCTCATGACCTCAGCTTAGAGAGGTGCCTAACACTGCAGCATAGACATCACCCTGGGGCACCAGGCATGTGTCCAACCATGAGGCACCCACAATTAAAGGGATTTTGCAAGTTCTAGCTCTAATTTCCTTCCATCTCAGCCCCTTCCCAGGCAAAAACTTTTCCTACCCACAAGCATGTTGCAAAAGCAATTAGCACCCAGTGAACTCTATTAACAAGCACCACAGAGAAACCAAGGACTAGCTGACCTCCTGAGGTCCCTTTCAACCCTCACGTCGTAGGATTCTATGATTCTAATAATTCCACGTTCACAGGGAGCACACCAAATAAGGCAGGGACTCACGTACCAGGTACTGAACAGCTGCCTCATCCCATGTCCCAGCAGGACACGGCCACATGGAGAAGACAGCCTGCACTCATGCACTGAGGGCTGCATCAGAAAGCAACATGCAAGGAAGCAGAGATGGGGTTTCATGCAAACGCCTTCCTCCGCAGCACAGCAAGGGTATGTCTGGACCAGGACAAGAGCATGTTTTGCCTTGTGTTCACAGACACAAACTAAAATCCTAGTGAAAACAAGGCTGCTTACTGTCTCACCCTTACGAGCAGGTGGAGGTCTGTGGGAAGTCTGGGTTTACCTGGGCCTTGTAACATGTCAGAATCACAGCTGTTGGGTTTTGCAGTGGAATTTTGATGTCCCCCAAGGCAAGGCAAGGCAAGGCTAAGGGGAGGAAGGAGGAGGAAAGGACTCCATCACCAGAGACCTGTTTCTGTGGACTGCGGCAGGAAACAATGCCTGGCCTATGCAAAGCACCTGGGTAAGTCATGCCACCTAAGCAGAGATTAGCTCTGGGCCTGTTTCCCAGCACAGGACAAACAGTTATACCAGTCAAAGGGATGGGGTGGAAATATCATGTTTCAGCTGTGCCCACTTTGCTCTGTCTGCACGCTCCTATCCCACAGTAATCACAAGGTAAAGTAGGGCAGCCAACCCCAGAGTGAAAGAAGGGTAAGTGAGGGCAGCTCAACCTCAAAACCTCTAGGACAAGGAGCAGACAGGTGAAACAGTTACAACGGACGGCTTGATATGCACTCATGCACAGCATGATCCCCCCAACACAGGGGCTTTAAATCAGTGTCACTGTGAACCTAGCCACAGCGCAGTCAGTGAATGCAAGAGCCACAGCAGAGAGTAGAAAGGCAGCAGGTTCTCCATGACTGGAAGATCTAGGCCATGGGGGAGACTTACAGAAGACCAATAAAATGCTGATGTGCAGCAGTGGGGAGTAGAGCAAACTACATGGAAGCCAAGTTCACACAGACTAACCCTGCCTAGAAATCTACGTCTGGCTGTAGCACCAGCTTCCCAGCAAGCCTGCAGCAAGGCAGAGCCCTAATTACAACAGATGAGCCTGCAGCTGACAGAGCCGGATGACAGGGACACGCTCACGGTCAGACGGTCTCAGCTGTCACAGCAGCTGAGAAATGCACAGGACAGACTAGACTCCAAGCACTGAAGGGTGCGACGGGACAGGAGGACCAATGCCCACACATGCCCTCCCCCCACCCAGCACATTGGGACCAAAGTGGAGACATAGGCCCAGTAAAGAGACAGGGACGTCCCCGTTACGCAGACAGGAAAGGGCTGAGCATGGCAGAACCCAAGGCAGTCTCTTTCAAGGGGTGCATGTGCCTGTGCCGCTTCTGTGGTCACCAGCCACCCCAAGGCACAGCTCTCCCCACAGGAATCAGACCCAGTTGCTCCTCCCTGCTCTGACCCAGCACAAGCACAGGTCCACGCTACCCTGCGGAGGGCTGCACAGGGCGGGGACAGGTCCACAAAAGCGAGGACAGACGAGGCCCACCATGGAGCCAGGCACAAGGAGGGTGGGACTTGCCGCCCAGAGGGACCAGGTCACTCCCCCACGAGGTCTGAGCCCCGCTCCTGCCCCAAGGCAGAGCTGTTGGGTGCCAGGCAGGGAGCTCCGTGGTCCCCCTCCTCCTGCCCACGGGCACCCACCTCCTCACGCCTCTTTTGCCAGCGCCCACAGGGGGACTCCTCCAGGATCTCGGACTCGTCCTCACTCTCCTCCTCCTCTTCTTCCTCCGGCGGCTGCGCAGCTGGGGCTGGAGCTACGGCTGGGGCTACGGACGTTACCGGCGGGGACACTGACGCCAGCCCTGCGCCCGACGAGGACAACTCAGGCTTGGGGTCTGAGCCACTGCCAGCACCCAAGGGCTTGGGCTCACCTTCTGACATGTTTGTCTGGCTGCGTCACCTGTGGCGGGAGGGCGAGTCACAGGGTGTGGATGCACCCTAACACTCTTCCATCCCAACCCCCACCCCCAGACCTGCCCCCT